GTGTGTGCACACACAGTGCACTGGAGCTGGAGAATTTTGCTTAGCAGTACTCACTGGGCACGGGCAGCATTCAGGCCTTGTGGCTGTTGCCCCTCCCCTGGCTATATGGGCAGCAGTGCTCCAACTCCCCTCCATTCCTTCTCACTGCTCATGGCTGGAGTCGGAGCCCTGTGTGGTTTTCACCTCACAGTTCCTTCTTGGTTACTGAGAGTTTTCTCTGTATATAGTTTAGTTTTTCATAGTTGTATAGCTAGTTAGTCCCTGTGTTAGTGTTAGTAAGTTAGTATAGGTTTCAGAGTAGCAGCCGTGTTAGTCTGTATCTGCAAAAAGAACAGGAGTACTTGTGGCACCTTAGAGACTAACAAAATTTATTTGAACATAAGCTTTCCTGGGCTAAAACCCACTTCATCGGATGCATGCAGTGAAAAATACAGTGTGCAAAATGCAGCCGATGAAGTGGGTTTTAGCCCAGGAAAGCTTATGTTCAAATAAATTTTGTTAGTCTCTAAGGTGCCACAAGTACTCCTGTTCTTTTTGCAGATACAGACTAACACGGCTGCTACTCTGAAACCTATACTAACTTACTAACACTAACACAGGTACTAACTAGCTATACAACTATGAAAAACTAAACTATATACAGAGAAAACTCTCAGTAACCGAGAAGGAACTGTGAGGTGAAAACCACACAGGGCTCCGACTCCAGCCATGAGCAGTGAGAAGGAATGGAGGGGAGTTGGAGCACTGCTGCCCATATAGCCAGGGGAGGGGCAACAGCCACAAGGCATGAATGCTGCCCCTGCCCAGTGAGTACTGCTAGGCAAAATTCTCCAGCTCCAGTGCACTGTGTGTGCACACACCTACGTGGAATATGCAGCTGCATCTAGTCAAAGAACCCTGAAGACGAGAATCACTGTGAAGGAGGGACCGGTCAGGCTGCACAGAAGCAGTTTTGGGCTGCATAAATTGCAGTGCTTCCTCCCTGCAGCTGGGAAGCCTTGTAAAGCTGTCCCAGCCAAAACCACGTGCTACTGCCCACCCTGTGCCACCACATGATTTTTTCAGTCCTTCAGATTGATTCTAGAGGAGAGGCCCTAGGCCTTGCCTGGACCACAAACAGAACAAGATCAGAAGCAGAAGGAAAGCTTACAGTCACTGGAAGAGCGGTGCCTGAAGGTGAATCTCAGATGGGTGCTGTGGACATCCTCAATGGGAACGGCAATCTAGGAGAGAAGAGCCAGCATTAGCACAGGAGGGAATAGGCCCAGTCATGGGTGCATCAGAGGACCTAAGCTTTGATAGAGCCAAAGGTCAACCATGGATTAAGATGCTCAATCCAGAACCCCATTCTGCTTTTAACTAGTAAAGTGTAGAGATCTGAACATGTGACCGTGCGCCTGTGTCCATACCGGGATGTGTCTGTGCAGGCACATCCACATGTGCATATGGAGGTACCCTGGCATCTTTGTGTATATCTGTATGCCTGTGTGCATATCCACCTATAACCATATGCAGCCATACCCCCATTCATGACAGGGGAATCCCTAAAGAATGCAAGCCAGGTTTCACTGAGGACAGCAGGCTGAGGCAAGACATAGGGAGTTCAGTCGGTGCTGTGGGATTGCCTATGGAGTGCAGCTTCTGTTACTCCCCTCGCTCTAGACTCAGGGCCTTGAGGAAAGGAGCTCCCAGTAACCATGGACACAACGGATCTTTGTCTCTATGCCTGTGGATTTGCTCATGTCACAGCTCCCTCTATGGACTGAGCTGTATTATCACCCCTGTTCTCCATTCAGTGGATCATTAAGCAATATTCAGTCTCAGAGCTGACCTCTTCCCTCCTCTGTTTGCACGGGAGGGCTATGAACTTTGCTCATTAGGGAGGGATTTCTCTGGGCAGAGGAGACTCCCTCAGGCTGTTCATTCTCCTTGAATAAGAGAAATCAGAACTGTAATTCTTAACAGTCTGATGTTCTTCACAGTTCTGCCTAGCCTCTGAGAGTCAGGAGTTGACAGGCAGAGTCTGAACAAAGCAGACCTCACACCTGGGACCCAGCGAGCTCAGGTTGCAGGTTTCATGTCCAAAATCCCAATCACAGCCGATCCCCTCCCCAACCACCTCCAAAGCAAGGGGAAGTTCAAACAGACCTTCATTGTCTCCATCCACCGCTGTTGCCGCTGCTGGTAATAGACCACAGAACGATATTCACTTGAAGGCTTGTCACCAGCACCCGGGAAAATCACATTCTGGGAAGTGGACAGCCAGGGGAGAATCAGTTAGTGCTGAGTTTTTATGATTACTAGGCAAATAGTTGTCTTGCATTCAAGCAATTCAGAGCTGCAGCATTTCTGCCACAGACATGGAAATCAACAATTAAGAACAAAAATACTGCGTGCTGACCAATATGCCAACCCGCCCCAGCCTACAGTGCCCCATTCCCCTGTCTGCACCAACCTGTCATAGCATGCTGAGCTCCATGACTGTGCCAGCCCATTCTAGCCTTTACCATCCCATCTGGTGGCTTCCAATTGCCCACCCACAGCACGGTCTCCTTCCCACCCACTGGCTGTGCCATCGTGCACAAACAGGCAGCCCCATTGCCCTCACTGTTCTGTCAGTCTGGCATGCATAGTCCCTGTTATAGCTGTGCCACTCTGCACTGAATTACCATTGCCTGTCCCTGGGCCGCACTTCTCAGTGAGAGCCTGGGATGGGGCGTCCATCCCACACTGACTAGTAAGGGGTTAGCAGAGCCCTACGGAGGCTGCGCAGAAAGCAGCCAAAAGGAGAGGGACTGTGAGGAGCAGCCAATCAGGGCCAAGCAGACCCATATAAGAAGCGCCGCAGGGCGGAGAAGGGTCAGTGGCTCCCTGGAGCTTGAAGAGGGAAGACCGTGCCTCGAGTGGGCTGCAGCCCTGTAGAACCTTAGACAGACAGTGTAGGCAGGAACTCAGGAAGAAGAGACGGAGCTCCAGCCAGGCTGCTGAGACTGAGGAGGGTGCTGTGGCCTCGGAGAAGCGGCCCAGGGAAATGCAGTGATAGTAGAGGCAAAGGAATGCAGTAAGTGACTGCAGTTCAGAGGGTCCCTAGGCTGGGATCTGGAGTAGTGGGGGGGCCTGGGTCCCCCCCTCCATTCGGCACTGGGGAAGTGGCAGGACTACTGAGGAGCTAAACCTCCCCGGAAGGGGGAACATGGATAGTGACACAGCCAGAGGGCCGAGCCCCAAAGAGGACGCTGCAGTTCCTGACACTTGCAAGAGAGGCTGCAGGCAGACTGCAGGAAAGGAGGGATGGGGTGCGGACTGCAAATGGGGAAGTCTGCCTCAAGCTAATTGCCAGAATGACAAGGAGGCGGCACCAGTCCACCGGTGAGTGATGCACACCATGACAGAGCCCCACAGCTGAGACTGAATGGGGCTGCAGTGAAGCTGCCCTGCTAGGCTGGAACGCCCTCTCTAACTGCAGAACTGGCTCCAGTCTTCCAAGGAAGGCAGCAAGGGGTTCACGAACCCTCCAGAGAGCTTTCAAGACTCAAGTCTTGTTGTAACATGGGAAAATCATTATCACAGATAGAGAAAGACTGGGGTGGGAGAAGAGATTGCATCTCTGTATTAACAAGCCTACATCCAATGTATCAGCTGAGAGTTTAATTAGAAATAAAAGCAAACGCCTGGAGAATGAGTAAGGGCAAGAGTCAATGTACTGTTAGGAGCAACTCCAGGGCTTGGCCTGAGCAAGAGCACAATCTCCTGCCCTTACCCGTGCACTTCCCTGTGCTCTTCTCCTTAATGAGCCTTTCCTGGAGCTCCCAAGCCACATTTCACTTCCTCCGCTCTGGCATTTGGAGTCTCTAACATACATCGAAGGAGCATCTGAGGACAGGCTGGAGGGCCTTGGATGGTTCTGACAAGCCCTACAAGAAGGTGATTCTCCCCTTTCCCTTCTCACAGCCTTTTTGGTTCTGGTTTTAGAGGTGAATTAGCAAGGCAGCTGCTGCATTCACCAGCTTAAAACAAGATTTAGTCATCAAAAATCTACAATATAAAGACCAAACTACAAATCTTCAACTCAAATATTATTTCCACTTTAACATATGGATGTGAAACCTGGAAACCCACTAAAGGTATAGATAGATGTCTAAATGCCTCCAAAAGCAAATGCCTCCGGTAAATACTAGGTATTAGATGGATTGAATTTATAAACAAATGCTGAGATTTTTCCGAAAGTTCAACAACCCTTATCGCCAAAGTTATTCAGAAATGAAGCTGGAAATATCTGAGATGTGTTAAGAATGAAACCAAAGTATCTGCCATGGAAGGTATGTTAATGGGCCACTGAAGGAACATATAAAGGGGACCAACCAAAAGAATCCCTCTGTCAAACAGTACTTAGAGAGGGAAAACGCACAGGACTTAACACAGGGAATATGCAAAGAGTAGCACAAGATAGACAGTGATGGCAGAGCCTGGTACTTGTTCTAAGCAATGTTTGACAATGCAGGAAGGATTCAGATTTAGAGGCAAAGCTCATTTTGAAGGTCCATTTCCAGAGCTTCAGTCCCCTCAGAAGGAGCGATCTGCCAAGAACACTCCAACCAGCTGCACTGAAGGAAATGGCCAAGACTTCCTAGGTGGTAATTGCCTCTGAGCACTACTGCAAAGCTGCTTTCAAACAGGTCCCAGACAGGTCTGTGTGCCTGGCCTGTGCAGATCCAGATCCAGCACTTCCCCATTGGCTTGGTTCTACAGAGCACCTCTGAAGTCCATGGAGTTAACCCAAGGATGCCTGGTTCCTCCTGAGTCATCTCCAAAGGAGTGAGGAGTCAAGTAGCGCTGGCACAGTCAGACTTAATCCCACAAGATTTGGGATTTCCCCTTTCCCTGCACCCACTGCCACATGCTCCCACTACACTACAGCCAGTAGGCCAGCACGGGGCACACTCACCTGCATCATGTTTCCAGTCTCATCACAGACACACACTGTCACCTCCACATTCTTCTGCGTCTTCTTGTTCCCCTTGTCAAACTCGCCTTGCACTATTGTGAGGTAAATGTCGTTCCTGATGTCCCCTGGAGAGAGCCACACACAGCGAGGTCAGGCCTGAAGTGCTACCAGTGGCCCCAGGAGCCCTCAATGCTCTCCCACCCCAAAGCACATAGGATTATTCAGGGATGGGCCAATGCTTTGGTTAAAATGAAAACAACCTCCCCCTCACACACACACCCTTCAATATACACCTACATTTTCATAGATTCCTGAAATTTAGAGCCAAGAAGCCCCACTAAATCCCATCCAGCCCAGCCCACTCCTAGTCACTGAGAACAATGAAAACTGGTCACTACTACACATTTACTAGTATTTTGATATGGTCCCTTCATTTCCTCCCTTACACCTACCCCTTACTTGGCTAATGGGTGAAGTGTATTAATAGAGGAGTGGCTGGCAGGCCAGCCCCACTCAAATTCCTAGTGTAGGTCTTTCTATAAGGGCAGGCAGTCTGATTTCCCCCCTCCACCTGCTTGGCCATTCTTCAACGGCAGGAATCAGAATAATCTCTGCACTGTGCAGCTGAGGTGCCAGATACCCAGTGCTTCTGGGGTGTCCAACACAAAGGCCTTTCACATGTTAAAGGATTAGCAGCAGCAGGCCCATGAAGAGTAATTCTGGTTCCACTGCAGTAACTGCCAGTCATGATCTGGTCTGGCTTCTCTTCCATTTGGCAGATCCCACTTCAGTTGCCTGTTCAGTCTAGCAGGTGTTGGGATGCTTTGGAGGAGCCCAGCCTCCATCTGAGTAGAAAGGGGAATAAGGCATTCCCCACTCACTCTCTCTCAAACACACACTATCCCTGATAGCACCCAGACACTGCAGTGACAGATTGCAATGCTTTGGGGGATCTGTCTGTACAACCACACAACTGTTATGCTAAAAAGTAACTATGTCCTGGGGGGAAACCAGTTTTAGCCTACCGATGCCACAAGGACTTTGGGAGACAGTAGCTGAGGATGGATCAGGATAAACTTACTAACTGTAGCCTGAGGTGCCTTCTTCACTCACCTGGCATGATAATCTCTGGGAAGCCTAACTTGCGGACCACAACTGTGCTGCGGTCCACCAAGTGAGGATGATCTTTCCGCACCTGACTCAGGTCTCCCCACAGCATTTTCAGAGACACCCAGAACCCTGGAAAGGATGGAGAGAAAAGGGATGGGAATTTACTTTGATCAAATAGAGTCCAGTGGGTAGCTTGACCAGATGCTCAGCCCACACCCCAGTGTGGACGTCTATCCCCGTCTCTGCACAGACGGGTCCATTTCACAGTCCTAGGACATGCTATTCGGGGCCCCATGTTAGAAAGTGGCTTCCACAGTGTTAAACATTTACAGGAGCCAGGCCTCAGAGATGTTGTCTCCATCGAAGACGTGTAGCTCCCATTTATCATAGTGTTGTGAAGTTTAGCGAAGAGCCAAACAGGACCTCGAAACTTGGATGACCAGGTAGCACCAATTTCCAAAAATGCCTTCTCTTCCTCCAGCTCGTTAGGAAACTTTGTCCCTTCCTCCCAGACAAGGACTTTGCAACAGTGACTCATGCATTTGTCACCGCCAGGCTGGTTTACTGTAATCTGAAGCTGAATGTGACAATGATACACAGGTTCTATCTGGTGCAGATTATGGCTATCCACCAAAGGGATCCAGCTATGGAACAATCTTCCAGAGGAGATCAGATGCATCATTAGTCTGACCATTTAGGAAATGTTGCAAAGCCTTTGTGTATGAATTCTGAAAGTCATGTACAGTAGACAAGCTTCAGTGGTGTAAAAGCCCCAGAGGGCCAGGATGCAGGAATAGGGTAAGGCTCCTCTCCCAATTCAGAAATCTACGATTTTGCTTACCCACATCATCACAGCCCCCAACCTACCCCACCTCCAATCCTTTACCCACGGCCTCCATGAACTTCTTGCTGGCCCCTCTCCTCCCCCACCCTGTCCCTGGCACCCCACTCCCATCCTGGGCTAGGATGTCTCCTCCCAATCCAATCTGCTCAGTGACTCCCCTTGCTTCATCACCTGCACTGCACTCACACAACACAGGCTGAATTTGAATGACGAGTGGCATTGCAACTGGGCACATGGGGTCTCAGCACCACCCAGGTTTGGCCCAGCCTCTCCTCCATCATGACAAAGGTGTGGTTGAGGCAAACGTGAGTGGTGCTGTGACCTTGTGCACCAAGATGCAACACCATTCACCCAAATTTAGCCCAACCACCCCTCTGTCATTTGGCCCAGCTGCAACTCTGTCTGATGGAGCGGTAGTGGGATCAAATTTGAGTGAGTGGCATTGCAACCCTATGTGCCAGGTGAAATGCTAGAGCATTGCTATATCTGGTTAGGCCCCCATAACCTTGTGGGCCCATGAGCAGCCTTGCTATTCTTACACCACTGAACATCTTTCTCAAAGAGCTCTTAAAAAAAAAATTAACTCTGTAAAAGGAGAAGTGCCAGAGACTCCATTCATTGCATTAGGCACTTCGCTGTCACAACTGATTTAAGTGGAAGGTGTTCAGATAGTATGGTGATGGTCAGCAGGATGAAACCCCAAGATAGATAGGCCACCCAGCTGTAGGAGGAGGTGTAGTAAGGCCCTTACCTTGTCCTTTGTGGTTGATTTCCTTCCCCTCCACTGCTTTCCTTATCATGGTGTGAAGGAAATCATTCTCAGCAGCTACCCTGAAACACAACAAAAGCACATGGGGGGCCGGGGGGAGAGATCAGTTCCGTCTAGCTAGGGAGGGGGATTCTGGGGAATTCCCATGCTTCCCCGCTCTGCAGAAAGGGATCTGGGAACAGGAGCACGTGAGTGCAGAAATGGTTACTTTATTTACTTGTACAGTAAGTGTGATTCTGTGGATATGTTGTGCACGTATAGCTTCCACTGTATCACCCAGTGCACTTGAGCCAGTGTAGTGATGCGGGACTCACCCCAGCAGCGCCTCCTGCTGGTCGTCTCAGGGAATTAGCTCTCCAGCCTCCGGAGCGCCCTCTGCAGGCCAGTGTCCCGCTTGCCACCGGCCCCATGTCCCTCCCAGACCCCAGTGCCCTTTTATCTGGGGTGCTGCCCCCAGCAATACCCCCACACTCTGCATCTGGGTCTCCCCTCTCTGGGGAACCCCCAACCCTCTAATCCCCACCTTGCCTCAGTCTGGACTACTTCCAGTCATCATCAAGCCCCCGCTCCTTGGGGCAGACTGCAGTGTAAAAGCCACTCATCGTAGGCAAGGTTGGGTCTGGACCTGCTGCCTCTCTCTGGAACCCAGTGCCTCTCTGGGGCCTTGGACGCAGCCCTGCAGCCTGGGGAGTTGCCAGCCTGGAGCTCCCCAGCCCCTCTGGCCTTTCCCCAGCCCTGCCTCACTCTAGGCACCCTGAGCGTCCCAGCAGCCAGGCCCCTCTCTCTCTCTCTCTCTCTGAAGGCAGAGAGAGACTGTCTGTGCTTCTGGCCCACTACCCTCTTATAAGGGCCAGCTGGGCCCTGATTGCACTGGCTGCAGCTGTGGCTGCTTTCCCCATCAGCCCTGCTTTTCTCTGCCACAGCCCTCTCCCGGGCTGCTTTAACCCCTTCCAGGCAGGAGCAGAGTGACCACTCCGCTACAGCCAGAGATATCTGATCAGCACCCATTCTGATGGCATATGCACACAGCATGTTCTCATGCCTCCAACAGTGGGCATGAAGAGCAGAGTTGCCCTGGCCCCCTCTCAGTTCCTTCATACCAGAATCCAGCTGACAGACTCCAAATAGTGGGGATGGAGCGTGGATCATGGCATACATATGTGTACAACACATCTCAAAGAACAAGTTACTGTGCAAGTAAGTAACTGTTTCTTCTTCGATTGCTTGTGCACATCTGTATTTTACTTGAGGTGGTTCTCAAACAGTAGTCCAATGGTAATGGAAACGTGGAAGTTACTTAAACATGGATTGAAGAACAGACTTTCCAAAATTGACATCTGCTCTGGATGCTTCCAGAATTGCATAGTGCTATGTGATCCTGTGACCAGAGGACCACGTTGCCATTCTTCAAATGGCCATAATAGGGATATTACTGAGGAAGGCCACTGAGATGGCTTGGGCTCATGTAGAATAAGCAGTACCTCTTTCTGGAATGAGCTTTGCAAAGCTGTAACAAATCCGTATGCATAAAGAAATCCAGTTAGATATCCTCCGGGCAGTATCTGCTCGCCTCTTCATCTCAGCATATGGGAGAGGATCTAAAAAGTTTAGTCCTGTCAGTGTAAAATGATAGGGCCCTGCAGACATCCCAGGTTTGAAGCCTCCCATCATCCTTATGGATGTGTGGCTTGGGAAAGAAGATTGGTTGGTGTAATTCTGATTCAGGTTGAATTCTGATACCACTGTGGACAGAAATTTTGGACATGGTTGCAAGGAAACTTTGTCCTTATAGAAAACTGTACACAGGGGACCCATCAAAAGAGCCTGCAGCTCTCCAACTCTCCTAGCAAATGTTATCAGTGATGTAATCATATATGAAATACTCTTTATCTTGGTTTCAGAGTAGCAGCCGTGTTAGTCTGTATCCGCAAAAAGAACAGGAGTACTTGTGGCACCTTAGAGACTAACAAATTTATTAGAGCATAAGCTTTCACGGGCTACAGCCCACTTCTTCGGATGCATATAGAATGGAACATATATTGAGGAGATATATATACACACATACAGAGAGCATGAACAGGTGGGAGTTGTCTTACCAACTCTGAGAGGCCAATTAAGTAAGTGACCAAAAAAGCTTTTGAAGTGATAATCAAGATAGCCCAGTACAGACAGTTTGATAAGAAGTGTGAGAATACTTACAAAACTGGACACAATACTCCAGATGTGGCCTCACCAGTGCCGAATAGAGGGGAATAATGACATCCCTCAGTCTGCTGGCAATACTCCTACTAATGCAGCCCAGTATGCCAGTAGCCTTCTTGGCAAGAAGGGCACACTGCTGACTCGTATCCAGCTTCTCAGCCACTGTAATCCCCAGGTCCTTTTCTGCTGCACTGCTGCTTAGACAGTCAATCTCCAGCCTGTAGCCAGGCATGGGATTCTTCCGTCCTAAGTGCAGGATTCTGCACTTGTCCTTGTTGAACCTCAGATTTCTTTTAGCCCAATCCTCCAATTTGTCTAGGTCCCTCAGGACTCTATCCCTACCCTCCAGTGTATCTACCTCTCGTCCCAGCTTAGTGTCATCTGCGAGGAGCTGTGCCAGTTAGATCAGCTGGAGGCACAGTGTTAGATGTTTTCATCAGGTGCAACTCTGGTACTGAAGTGAGTACTGGTTCTCCTGACTGACATCCACCCAGACACAAGGAGAGAACTGGGGAGTCTGGGAGGGAGGTGGTCTATCAATGCTTGTGGTGTCGATGGTACCAATACAGTGTTACCAAGAAGGTTGGCACCAGATAGGATGTCAAAGGAGTCATTAGTACCAGGCCTGCAAGTGGAGCACAGACGCTGAACAGTGTGGGTGTAGATGGTACCAAAGTTACCAATATCGAAGCAGACGGTGGCAATATGGAGCATTTTGAGGTAGGCAGCTTAATGTCAAATAAAGAAATTCTTGGCCAGTGTTGGAGCTGCATGTTAGTGGACTGAATGGATGTTAGATGTCGTCTCTCTTGGACTTTGAGTTGCCCTTTTACTTAATGACCAGAAATGGCCCTGGAGATGGTGCCTGGTGTTCTCTTCTATTTCTGTAGTTTGTGGGGATATCTTCCACACTCAGGTCAAGTCTTTGGTATCAGCGCAGCTATTGGAGATAAAGAGGCTGCCGGGATACTTCTGGATGATTCATAATACGGGTGTTTGGTACCAAAACAACCACAATCCAAGTATAAGTGCATGGCTTTCTCCATCGGGTACATTCAGAGCCTAATCTCTATTTTTCCTTGGTTCTTCTTGTGAAGGATAGATAGATAGATAGATAGATAGATAGATAGATAGATAGATAGATAGATAGATATAGAGAGAGCACGCACCTCAGCAGGATGTGTCCTTCTCCCAAATAAACTAAATACCACCTATGTCCATTTAAAAACATCAGCCTGACATGATGGGCAGTGTTTAAACCCTGGTGATTTTTTAGCAGACATGCTGAGAAAAACCAACAATTTGGTACTGAAATACTACCCAGGGGACAGAATAAGATCTCTCACAAAAACAAAGAAAAAAAAGAAATATCATTAAAAAAAAATCACTATCTAAACACTAACTACTATGCAAACTACTTTATCAATAGTGAGAGACACTTTTTAGGGTTAACCAAAGTGTCTGGGGTGAATCACTACCACCTGCTTATGGCATGAGGGAGTCTTGTCTGTGCCAACTGGGGCAAGTTCTCCCAAAGCTACCAGCTGCAGGCTCCACAAGCACTCCACTCCAGGCTAGCGGAAGCATCACACTTTCCTTCTGCCAGCTGGCAATTTATACACCCCACCTTCTTATACTCATGTCAGGGGTCCCTCCCCACTCTGAACTCTGGGGTACAGATGTGGGGACCTGCATGAAAGACCCCCCCCAAGCTTATATTCCACCTATGCTACCCTTAGCTGTATGTTCATGACAACTCAAATGCCCCGTCCCTTTTCTTCTGGACACCCGCAATGTATGTGAAGCTGTTGCAACCCAAAATTGTATTTGCTTTTTTTGCATTAACAGAGGTATAGCATGCAAGTCATGGGAGATGATAGTACCGCTCCACTCAGCGCTGGTTAGGCCTCAACTGGAGTACTGTGCCCAATTTTGGTCACTGCTGTATAGAAAGGCTGAAGAGAAACTGGAAAGGATCCAGAATCAAACAAAAAAACAATCAAAGGGATGGAATTGAAGTCACGTGAGCAAAGGCTGAAGGAACTGAATATTTTAGTTTGGAAAAGAGGAGATTAAGGGAGGACATGATAACAGTCTACAAATACTTGAAAGGCTTCCATAAAAAAGATGGAGAAAAGTTGTTCTCTCTTGTCAGAGAGGGCAGGACAAGAGGCAATGGGTTCAAACTCCAGCATAGCAGATTTAGATTAAATCTCATGAAAAACTTCCTAACTGTAAGAACAGTAGGACAGTGGAACAGACACCTAAGGAAGGGGGGGGGGGTGTTAAGTATTGAGAAGCTGGTCAGACACAGGTGTAATATGCCTTCTGGGCATGCTTATGTCACACAGTGGAGCTCACAGTGAGCATCACAGGCCAAGGCGTTGAAAAGAAACTGAGAGGGGGTCGGGCAGCCCCGCCCTTTATGGCCTAGGTTGGAGGGATGAGTACACCCAAGGCACAGACAGTTCCCAGAATCCCCAGACAATGCTGTTTATGAAAAATCTCTGTCTTGAGTGCACTGGGTGTGCACAGGCATAGGATGGAAAATATATGTGCACAAGCACTTGAAAAATGACACAGGAATAGCTCGACTGGATCAGGCCCGTGATCCATCTAGCCCCATCTCGGTCAGCCGCCAGCACCAGCAGTTTCAAAAGAATTAATAGATGTGCGAAAATATGCCTCCAACATTACATCTCCTCTTAACCCCTTTAGTTAGAGATTTGCTCAAACCCTGAAGCACGAGGTTTAATATGTCTTATAAAATTTGTGTATTAACTCTGGATATTCTTGTTACCCATATAAATGTCCAATTCCCATTTGAATCTTGCTAAATTCTTGGCCACAGTGACATTTGTGGCAATAAGTTCCACAATCTAATTATCCTGAAATCAAAAGTAAGAAAGATAATTCCTTTGATCCGTTTTTAATGTCACCTTTTAAGCCAATTTAGTATACCCTTGTTCTTATGCTCAGCTTCTCCTGGCCATGGGCAGTGTTTCCTTCCCACCCAAGAGAGGGAGACAGTCAGTTGACTCAGAAACGCTCCCCTTTTTGCAGCTGAGTTCTTCTCAAGTGAATGGAAAGTCCTATCTGTCTTAACCCCAGCCTTCATCCCCAACCCTTGCAGCCCCCGTCCCTCTCTGCTCACAAGTGCTTGCTTTACTCACAGGTGCACAGGAATGAAGTACTGCTTGTCCTCATCACTCTCACATTTTCCCTTGATGATATCTGTAATGTCCATCACTGTAAGAGACAAGGGACAGGAGCCTATGGTCATAAGGTCCTTTGGACAATCCTGAACCAACCCAGAGGGCACAATGGCCACCCTCTATCTCCAACTGATCCTGAGCTTTCACGGGAAAAGAGCAACCAGAGACAGCTAGACATTACTGAGCACCTGTAATCTGTGTTTGAAGCTATTGTCATTGCCAATAGGTGAGAGAACATGATAACCACAAAAGAACCTGCAAAAAACAAACACATTCTCGGATGGAGGAGCTGTCCGGCTGAGAAGTGCAGGGAGGAGGTGGTGGAAGAAATGAGCAGGGGAAATTTTGGCTGAATCCCAGGAAGAGTCTCCTGGCAGGGAGATAGCTCCTCACTTAGATTTGTGTCTCAGGGAGAGGTCAGGGAGCCGCAATGATGGGAACATTTAGAACTAGGACTGTCTCATGCATTAGAAAACAACCAGACTGTACTGGCCCCTAAAGGATGAAGGAGGCTTTTCTGTGTCTGATTTCTCTCAGTTTTCCTATTAATCATAGATTTTAAGGCCAAACAGGACCATTTGATCATCCAAACTGACCTCCTACATAACACAGGCTGGACGATTTTAATCAATTCCTTCACTGTCCCTGAAAGAGGAGCTGCAAGACTTCAATAATGGAACCAGAACTACTGCCCAGTTTCACTGCAACTTTCCTGAGGTCTTGTTTAGATTTAAGAAGGTGTTCTCAATCAAGTCAGCTCAACCCAGCTAGTTATACTGAACTGAAAAATCCACCTAACAACAGTGCAGACACACTACTACCTTTTGCCTGATTATATCAGGATGAGTCATACCTCTTTCCTCAGTGACTCACCACAGACAGCCTTCCACTTACAGAAAAGCAATACTTCCAGTAATTCACTATCACCCCCTTCTGCCTGCTCCCAAATGCTATCCCCTCAACCATTCACCCCAGGTATCCCTGTTCCCCCTAACACTATCCCCAGCAAGTCACCACAGATACCACTCAGCCCTCCAGCACTATCCCCACAGAATCCCTCCACCCCCCAATGTTTTCCCAATACTAGTGAATTTTTCATAAGTGACAGCATTTTAGCTGAGGCTGAAGCCAATCTTACAATGATGCAAGATGCTCCAGCCCTCTAGTGAATTTGAGCCCTGCCAGGGGAAAGCCAGCCCCCCCTCATTAGCTGCCTGTCCAACAGGACTGGCTCCAGGCACCAGAGTACCAAGCAGGTGCCTGGGGCAGCCAATGAAGAGGGGAGCAGCAGGTCCGGCGGCAGGGCCGTCACTCCCTCTCGGAGCGAAGGACCTGCCGCCGAATTGCCATCGTAGAATGAAGCGGCGGTAGAGCTGCCCCAATCGCAGCTTTTTTTTTTTGGTGTGTGCGCGCGCGCTTGGGGCGGCACCGGCCCTGCTGTCCAACTTTCCCATTTTCCCACAGTGGGTATTTCCGTAATATTTTTATGATGCCTATGTGTACCTCAGTTTCCCCTATATTTCACATGGCTACCCAGCGTAGGGGGGAAAAAGGAATGTTTGCTCTCAGGGAAAGCTAAGAGACATAGGTATGAATGTCACCTAGCTGTTTGAACTGAATGAGTCATTAAAGGACTGGCCAAGGCTGATCCCATCTCACTGGAGAATCTGATAAGACAATGGCAAATCCGGTCCCCAGGACACTGACACCAAGCAATCACTGACCCAACAGAACCTGGATTGGGGGCTTGGCTGGGGGCTCTTATCTAACCAGAATGGTCTAGGCTATGGTCTATGCTTTAACCTTCATTTCTCTATGCCCATCTAAGGACTTCTGATGCTGTGTGCCAGGTGACAAATAAACCTGACTTTTGACAACGCTGTGTGTCACTGTAAATGGCTGGTGAGGTGTATTAATCCCTGAAGAGTATACAAGTCTCTTCCAGAAGGGGGGGGAGGGTGTCAGGGGACAGGGAAGGTTGGATAGGGGATGGAGTCTCATGGGGGCAGTTAGGGGCAGGGGGTTCCAGGAGGGGGCAGTCAGGGGACAAAGAGCAGCAGGGGTTGGATGCGATGGGGATTCTGAGGGGGAC